AGATTCACCTTACCGCTCCTTCCGCCCGTGATGTAGAAGCCCGGAACTTAGAGCTGAAGCTGGTTCAAAGCTCTCCGGATATGACTCTTGCAGAGAGCTTTGAGCTGTTTCAGGAAGTGGAAGATTTGTTACAGGGTGGCCCGCCGGAAGAAGTACGTATTTTCTAGCTCTCAGCTCCACTTGGACTGATTTGCCATAAGTTCGTGGTCTTGCGGGCGTTCGCAGCCGTCTTGTGTGAATTTCATGAAACGAAGGATAAACTTCGTGAAGTGAACGAAAGAGCTACACAGAGTCATGCAACCGCCGAAGAAACGATTATGGAGCTTAGGCAGCAATTGGAGCAGGCGGCTGAGAGTGTTGGAAATGCTGTGCCTGATGAAAATGCTGTGCCACCGGACATAGACGATTACAGGACGTGAGTTTCTTTATTACTTTTAATGCTACTAAGTTACTCAATCTACTTTATAGTAAGGTATGCTTTTTTTTTCTATATTGCTTTCACATCTCTGAGTTCCGCGGCTAGCTTCGTACCGCCGAGCTTGAACTCTTGGAGCTTCGCGCCGAATGTTCTTCGTTGCGCGCCGAAACGGCCAAATACCAAGAACAAGAAGACCAAGAACGTAGGAGCTACGAATCACTACGTTCCCAATACAGGACTGCAAATCATGAGCTCAACGATTTGCGGGTACAGTGCGTTGCGCTACAGACGCAGGCGCAGAAGCAGTCCCGCAACGAGGATATGCTTCGAATGCAACTCGAGAGTCAGCGTCGCGAACGAAAAACCCTAGTAGCCGAATGCCAGAGATACTATCACGATTACATAGCCTTGATGGAGAATAACGCGCAAGCTCACCATCAGGCCGTGATAAAGGCCCGAGAAGAGTACAGCGCGAACGCAATAGCTTCAAGGCGCCGCTCTAATCCTCTTCCTCCGCCGCCACAACCCATTAGCCTCAACTCTTTGAAGCTGGGCAACCCCGGGACATCTCTGGCTGACAAAGGCAAGGGCAAGGATGGCATGGATCACACCGGTGAAGATCCAATGTCTTCCGCATATGTTCCGACGCTGGCGGCTTCTATTGCCGTTGCTGGGCCCAGTAAACACGCTGATTCGGATTCGGAAGTAACCACTCTTCTCTACAAAGCTCCAGCGCGCATGCCCTTGTGGCCCGGCTCCTCCAAGGCGGAGTCATCGAGTAAAGCTGTCAATGCGGATCGTAGTTCCAAGCTATTAGATGCTGGTGCTATCGCAGAACGTATTGAAAGGCATCAACCCATCCACATAGACTACGCCTACCCGCAACTCCAGACTCACGAGAAAGGGTCCAATGAACTACCGCCCTCGCCTGGTCCTTCCAAACTCCGCTCAAGAGTTGATTCACAACAGGCTTCAATGGCGCCCCAGCCATCCTGGTATGAACTTTCGTTTTCTAGTCATGCGCTTGGCCCACCAGCTTCACGAAGGTCCACTGTGCATGCACGTTCGTCACGTCGTGCATCCTCTCCTGTAGTATCGTTGTCGAGTCAAAACCAACGTGAATATGGACAGAAAAGTCACCGTGACCATCCAGATGGCGGAGCAGGAAACATGTTCCATCCAACCTACTTTGCCGCAGGAAGCAGTACTCGCGAAAATCCAAGCGCATCCAACCGAGAATCGTTTCCTACAGGCGATCCTTCTATGTCCCAACCTCCAGAGCCTTCTATGTCGAAGATACCGAGACGTAGTAGGCATGACTCTTATGACTACTTTGGACCCAGTCAATCATCTCAGCAGTATGCGGCTTCCCAAGCTGGCCCCAGTCGTGGTCAGAGTGAACTCCATGGCTCATTCCTTCCTCCACGCCAAAGGCGAGAAACTACTTATTCGTACCCGCATCCCGCCGGACCATCATCTTCCACCACTTGGCTGAATAACAATACCGAACGATCCGTTATTCAAGCCAGTCGCGAGGTGTGATCTTCTTCTCATGTAATGCTAATCTGATCTCTTGCTATTCTCTCCTTTTCCTTATCGTGCGTTTCACATATCCCTGTCTGCTTCCTTTATTCTCTGTTATGAACTTGCTGTGCTTATTTTTGACGACCTTTCTTTTCTTTTTGTTATCGCATGCATGCTCTGACGTTGTTTTATGTATACCTGTCTGCTATAGGTAATCTTTCCGGGACTGGCTATCTCTTGTGTTATTATCTCGAATACATTGGAACTTTCATTTACGAATTCGAACGCAGCTGCGAGGAAGTCGAATATGAATATACGGGCTATTCCAGTATGTACAGCCTTCCGACCCGGATAATTTGGCATCGGCGGCTGGCTAAGCTATGGGGCCGAGTGCTCCATTAGTAGTATTTGAGATGAGAAACATGCGAGCAAGAGATATCCAGGGGTAAGTTCATGTTTATAATTATCTGCACAGTCAATAGAATGTCGGTCCCACGTATTCGTATACTGGTTTATAAGGTAAGGACCAACAGCTGAACGGCTCAGATATGGAAAGCCCATCATCATCTACCTACTTGTTCTTGTCAGCTTTCTTATCGCTCTTTGCGATCAGAGTGCTCTTAAGGACTTTTCGGAGACCTGCAGGCCTTGGAGTCACTGTTTCTGATCTAGATGGCCCGAGGCCTTCTTCGTGGATGGCAGGTAAGTTACTATGTATCATATCGCTGGCTTCACTCGTATCACTCGCAGTACCGTGACATTGTGTTAATGGCCCCTTCTTAGGTACACTCAAAGACATTATAGGAAAGAAAAACATCGGAGAAAAAGATGAAGAAATTGCCAAACAGTATGGGATTACTTGCAAAGTGAAATACATACTGGGGGTAATTCTCATTTCTGAAGTCTAATCACGCATATTGATACATCCGCTTATTTCCACAGACTGATATGTTGTACCTCGCAGACCCAAAGGTTAGCGTATTCTTCCTCTATTGGCACACGCATAGGCTCATCACTTGCTAACAGGGTCTACACCATGTCTTGAACACCTGCTCGTATGCTTTTAATAAATATGCCGATGCCAAGTTTGTACGACTTCTGTTTGGACCCAATATATTGGCTACAGAGGGTAAGCAGGTTAAAGTTACTGCTTCTATCCTTCTACTTTAACTATCCTTCTATCCTGTACAGGTCCAGACCACGTTCGGCAAAGGAAGATATTAAATCCAGCATTTTCTCCGACGATCGTAAGAGACAGCGTTCCGGTGTTTATCCAAATTACCCAAAATGTGAGAGATATTCGAAAGGTTTCATCGTTAAAGAAGTAATAATTTCTTGCACAGATGATGACCAAATGGGATGCTATTTGCGAGGCAAATGGGGGGCCTTGCGTTATGAATGTACATGATTGGCTTTCTCGAGTAGCACTGGATGCTATCGGACAAGGTTAGCATCCTGGAAGTTTAAACATGTTTATAGAGATAAATCGTCTCTAGCGGCTTTCTCTTATGATTTTGGGGCATTGTCCGACAAGCCATGCGAATTCGTCAATGCATATAAAGGACTATTGTAAGAGGTATTTCATATCACCTTCATATACCAGCGCTAAGTCTTTAACTCTTAGCCTGGATATATTTCATAAACGGAGCGCATTGGAACTGACTCTGCAAGAACTTCTTCCTTTGCTACCTTTTTGGGCAATGAAGCTTTTGCAAGGCTTGGCGCTGCGTAGGGATAAATTGATCAAATTTAAGGAGACTGCGCATAAAATCGCTTTCGACATTTTACAGCGAGAAATTCGCGCCACAGAGGGACATGTTCCGGAAGGAAAGGACATGATGAGTATTCTGGGCAAGTCGCACTTTATTTTATTTATCGAAATTTGAATATTGTCTAATACCCTTTGGGCATGTAGCCAGAGCAAATCTCAGTAATGAAGGAAAGCGTAAAATGACAGATGAAGAACTTCTATCTCAAACGGTGTAAGAGAATATTGTTTCTTCGGATGCCATAACACCTTTGACAAGAGACTTAACCAGGGCGTTCACTATAGCCGGTCATGAAACAACATCATCTGCATTAGTCTGGCTCCTATACGAGCTCGCGCGTCATCCTGAGGCTCAGAATAGGTTGAGGAAGGAGATAAAGACGTTCCGCGCTGAAATGGGTGGCAGAGAGCTTGCTTCGACCGATTTCGACTTGCTTCCATACACAACTGCGGTCATAAAGTCAGTAGCAAACTCATTACGGTGTTTAATAACTAAAAGCACTTTAGGGAGACTCTTCGATTTTATCCCATCATTACTCACAACACGCGTAAAGCAGGAAGAGATGAGACTATCCCACTTTCGAACCCCATTCGAACGCGGGATGGTAAGTTAACGAATGAAATCTCCGTTAGGAAGGGACAGATGGTACTTATGCCTTTCTGGGTGTATAACCGGTTGAAAGAACTATGGGGAAATGATGCGGATAAATGGAATCCAGAACGATTTATCGGGAATAAGTTATCGGGTCAGAAGCATAATCTAGGCGTTTATTCAAACTTGTGAGTGAAATACAAAATATTATGCTCTCCTGATTTGACTTACACGAGTTACGCTAGATCTACGTTTGGAAGTGGAGTTCATAATTGCATTGGGTAAGTGACTAAAGCGAGAAACAACTTCAGTTGATGTTTACTATGGGGACCTTTCTAGATGGAGATTCGCGTAAGTTGATCTATGCTTATTTCGTACGTAAATGCTAAATTAGAGCCACTTTATCAGCATTGCAGAGCTGTATTCCGTGTTGACAACCCTCATTGAAAAGTTCGAGGTTTTGCCTCCACCTGATGGAATTGAAGTATATCGTGCATCAGTCGTAACAATGGTGCCCATGATTAAGGGGCAGGAGAAGAAAGGAGTACAAATGCCACTGACCATTCGTCCATTGTAATAGCCATGACACCTGAACCTGTCCCAGTCCATTATAATATATATATATCTGAAGTTTATTAGAAAGCTAAATCAAAGTTCGTAGAACGTTATCTAATTCATTAAGGTAATGTAAAAGATGTGGACCAATAGCTCAGTGGTAGAGCACACGATTGCAAATCGTGTTGTCCCGAGTTCAATCCTCGGTTGGGCCTTTCTTTTTGAGCCGGTTCGGCCTAACACCCTGACTTACCGCGCATAGTAATACGCGCTTTGCTCTTAGTTATAAGTTAGTAATACTATGCAGCCTATGCTCGCTTGATAATGGCTAGACTCGATTCAAGCGCCCGGCGAGAGCTTGCTCCGAAGCTATCTACTATCATGTCCCGGACTTCAACCCCCTTTAATCTGCTCGTGCTTACTAATTGATATCCGACATTGCTAGACGCAATTGCAGGTTCTCAGTGCACTCAAGGGCTATAAATTGTCAGCGAGACCTGAGGCTCTTGATCACAACTTGAACTAGACGCAAATACTATTTGCTCACTTATATCGTGAGTTCTTTGTATATTATTAATACTGGATCTCATTCTCACCATTTGAAGTCCCAGAAGTTCTGAAAGCACGAAGCATGAAGAATCAGCTTAACCTAGACTTAGCCATCCCCCAAAGGCCAAGTAGTATGAAAGCTCTCGTAACGGCCACAGGAAATACCGCAATTGTGACAGATGTTTTCATTCCCGAACCAAGGCCCAATGAGATCAGGTGCGTAATCCCCTTTCCAAAGGCTATACGCTGAGTTGTTCTCACTTCAATATTCAACCTTAGAGTCAAGGTTATTTCTATAGGGATAAACCCCGTAGATCCGTTATATGTGGCGCATCCAAATGACAAACCAGGTCGTGTGGTTGGAAGCGATATTGCTGGCATTATCGACAAGGTCGGCTATAATGTCCCTAATTGGAAAGTTGGAGACAGAGTTGCTGGTCTTCTTCAAGGTGGTAAGCAATATAATCTCTCGGTTTATGTAAACCATCCTTTTTTTTTTTTGTTAAAGAATTGCTCCTCCATAGCGACGTCAGTTAACCCTCGTCCTGGCGGATTCGCCCAATACGTCATCCTAGAGGACGACCTTGTGATCCACATTCCTGATGCCGTGTCTTTCGATGAAGCGGCAACCTACCCTTTATGTTCGTTAACAGCGGCTCAAGCCCTGTTCATCCGTCTGGAGATCCCAGCTCCCTTTCCGGGGTCTCCGTTCCAGTTCCATCCTCCACTATATGCCTCCCCAGCGCTCCTCATCTATGGCGCTTCAACATCTTTAGGGCTGTTTACGCTCGGTCTTGCCAAGAATCTTAGAACGCCTTTGGGAGAATCATACAGAATATATGTCACCGCCAGCCCGCGGAATCATCTCCTTCTCCTCTCCTTGGGAGCCACTGAGGCATTCGACTATCGTGATACATCTTGGCCGTCTAAAGTGAAGAAAGCGAGTGGGGGTATCCACTTTGCTGTGGACTGTATCTCGGAAGATAAGACAACTGCACGCATTTCGCAAACGTTTGCGGATGATGGAGGGAAAATAGCAGTGATTAGGAAAAGTGCATGGAAGAAAGAAGGCGTGAGGAAGGATGTAGTGCCAATTTATGGGGCAGCATGGGCTGGCTTAGGATATCCAATTTGGTATAACGGTTAGTGGAGTATCACCTTGCTTGATCATCTTCTATAAAGCTAATCCGGCTATATTCCCAGATGAACTCCTTCCTGCATCTCCATCCTGGCGTTCATTGACTGTGGCGTTCTTCTCATATTTGTCCGCGGGTTCTCCGTCTGATCCTACTAAATTCCCTATTGAGCCCAATCCTGTGCGGCTTATGCCTGGTGGTCTGGAGTGCGTCGTACAAGATGCGTTCACATTGATGGGAAGTGGGAAGGTTGCTGAGAGAAGAACTGAGACAAAAGGCGCTGAAAAGTGGATGAGACCCATTTCGGCTGAGAAATTAGTGTATAGAATTGAAAGCGAAGAGAGCATTAAGACATAAAGTTGAGCTTATTTTAACAATCAAATATATATATATAGAATTTTTGTGTTATTCTTACATTTCTTCGGCTAACTACTAAACCCTGGGGATTCGAATATAAATAGATGATACAACGACCAAGCTTCGGCTTCTTCAGATAGCCTGACGCTTCCTAAACATGAGTATCGTCGTCTCATCAAGAACAAGGAAACCGCCAAAAGATTTATGGTTCGATGGCGGGCCCGCTTTGATGTCGTAAGTAAAGAGAATATGTGCTAGCATTGTTTTCATCTCCATAATGGCCATGAAACGTCCGGGATTAAATCGAAGTTCCATTAACACTACAATAATAAATTATCCCAAGGCCTACCATGCATTTTACCACATCCAAATTGCAGATAGTTAGAACTGGTAGAGAGGTAACTTGGTTTCTAATTTGTTCCACCTCGTTCAATTTGCTAAATCCGAAGCCATCGAAAGTGCTTGCGTTGGGAAACACCTCTTCACTATGGTGCTTAGAGTTATGTAGAATTGCCATCAATGCTCCTTTTGGAATATCTGTTCCATCCGAGAATGCGAATTGTTCAACAGCAATCCGATTCATGGTGTCTGATCGGATAATTTTAAATAATTGTGTTCCTTAATTCATAATAAGATCACACTTACGAGGTTCAAGTTTAGACATACGCAAAGTCTCCCGCATGAAACTATCTAACTTGGGCAGCTTTCGCATTGTATCCTTTGTCCAGCCATATATCGCACTTGCATTCTCGATCTCTTCACGAATCGGCTCAATATATTCAGAGCGGGATACTAGCTTTAGGAATATCGCAGAAAGCACCTAAAAGTCAATAGAACTGTTAGACTTTGAAATGCTGGTCGGAGTCATTTTATCAAAGAAGTGCTACGAACCGGGGCGGTATTCAGGATAAGCAATCAGAGGGTATGGCCCCTGAGATCTTGTCCATCCGGAGGAACTCCATCGATGATCCAAGTCAACATGTCATCCTATCTCCCCGTTAGACACATTCAATAGGTCAAAAGAATTATCAGCCTACCGACCGCTCTGGATAGTCCTTCCCATATTTCTCTTTCATTCGAATACTCTCTCCTACGAGCCGCCTGACGTATTTGCTAGCGCATTTAATCGTTCCCTCTAGATCACATAACTTGGCTATGAACCTTGAAAGAACCGCAAACTTTGAATTTAATGGCCGGAAGTATTATTACGGTACCTACGGCTTGAGAAAATACGGAAATAGGTCAATAATCCTGGAGCTAATAAACAGCGTCATAACAGTTTCTTTTGAGCATTGTATGAACTCTGGCTCGCGGTCTAAATAGACTCATTACAGTCATGGATCAGTTAAAAAATAGAAGCAGACGACATGCAGGCAGGCAAAGCAAAGAAGACGCGGTTCAAGGTGCGTGACACTGTCTGGCGAATGGGATCTAAAATCTCACTGGACGCCCATTCTGTTACCCTTAGTAAGATTTAGAATGTACTGTAATGTGTCTTTTACACGCACCATCAGTTATAGGGATAAGATCGTTGAATGAATAGACTATTTCATCGTGGACTAGTGCAAAGATTTTCCCCAAGCTGCGATTTAAATGACTGCTAATGAGATTGAGATGGTACCGATTTGTCGTCATATCCTCTCCAAGGGTATATTTAGCTGCAAAAAGCTGAACTCTGGATAAGTCTTTCCACTCTCAGAGATACAGAGCGTGAGCAACTCACATCGTCCATGGACATATAATATCTCCTCTGGAGTCTTCCGCAGCTCCTCTATGTGATTCTCGCCGGTTACGATTAAAATCCACCTAGTCCATAATAGGATACGGAATATACCAGAGCAATGCTGCAACGGGACTATAGTAGGCTTCGGGGGAGCTCGAGGGGGTCGAGCTGGGGACTTTGTGCAACATCGATGGCACTCATGTGTCGCTATCTTTTGTTGTACCTCCATCCCTCCACACTGCGACTAGTCTCACTCAGGTCGTCGCATATGGCAGCCATGATGGTGCAGCACAACGACCCTGAGTACCGGCGTCGTCTGGCACAAAGTCTCTAATATGGAAGCCAATACCTTCTTTTATCCTTCCTCGACCATTTCCACAGAGCTGTTGAAGAGACGGTAGACATCGGTATACGATGTCATAATCCTTGATCGTCCTGCCGCCAGAAATTTCACTTGAAATAATCGAATAAGTATATATCACTTGGTGAGATCGTTCTCACAGCGTTAAAGACTCACACATTCCCTTCTGTGTGCCAGCTTCTTAGCTCATACAAAGCCTAATAACCCAAAGGAGACGGCCAGCCTCCAGGAGCAGTACTCTATCGTTTGTCTCTCGAGGTAACATACTGAGCACGGATGGGTACATCGTAGGGGGTGTCTCGTTTAATTGGTAAGTCTTCAGGTTAATATACCTTTATCGCACATGGGTAAGTACCACCATAACAGGTGACACTATTGCCTCAGCGCTGTCAATATCCCTTAAATTAAATTTTCCACAGATTGATTGAGAGGATTCCGGAAATCGCCCTCGAACGTTGTATGGTTCCTCTATATCAGGACTTCGAATCAGACTAGAAGACTTCTCAGTACCTAAATACATACACGGTACGAGAAATCTGAGCCCCATATATGTTCATTTTCAGTGTTCACCGTATATCATCAAAGCTGTGCATGACAGATACCCTCATTTACGTAGGCCTGCTTACGTCTCGGCACTACAGAGGACAGATACCCTCATTTACGCAGTCGTTCGCATGCCTGCGGCACTACAGGTTGTAGTGCATCAGTAAACGTCGTAAAAACCGGCGCCTAATGGCTCGGTAAAGAATTTTGGTTATTCCTATGGAACGACACAGGGATACCTATTTTTTTTTCGAGAATCTGGTATATATGATCCATAATCCTCTCATAACAAACACCTGGGGCCGCCTATATAGCCTGCATCAAGATATTCCCCATGCAAATTTTGCTATGGAAATGTACATAAACTATGATCAGCTATAGATGACTATGCTAGCAACTATAGCTGATTATAGTTTATGTACATTTCCATAGCAAAATTTGCATGGGCAATATCTCGATGCAGACTGCATAGATGGCCTCAGTTATCTGTCATGGGAGGGTAATAGATCATATAAATTAGGTTCTTAAAAAAAAAATAGGATATCC